ACAGGTAGTAATTCCTTTTAGATCTTTTGTTTGACAATGCAGTTCCTTTACAGAGAGGTATTTGTTCTATAATGGCATAAACGCCACAACCGTCGTCATAGTGCAGTGCCTGTTTTCAGTACCTACTCCAAGACACGTAGGAGCCACTCTGAGGTGCTGGCACTGGTTTTGCCAACAGTGATGATGTCTGAAGAAAAAAGTAGATTGGAACCTTGTTACTAACTTGGCAGTTGCTGTTTGAGCACAGTCTGGTGCTATTCCCTTAACATCTGGATAGCTGGTTCTGCGATACCTAGTCAGCTTTGGTTCAGTGTGAAGCAGCGAATGTTTCTCGGAGGCTGTCTTTGCTTTTGACTTTCAGAGTTTGATCGTGGGCTGGCATTCCGGTTGTGTGTGGATCCAAACCAGTAGTTTCTAATAGCAATTTCTAGCTTGATGAAAGTGAGGGTTTTTTGCTGGACTGACATCTGCCAGGGCTGTGCTATGTTCTAATTTGTTTTACAAAATGATGCATTTTCCTTAATAGTGCTGGTATTTCCACAGCTCTTGTGCCTGGAATTCTTTTGCACTCTACTGTTTAGACTTAGTGCTTTTCGTTTTGTCAGTTGCCCTGCTTTAGGTTTTATTAGTGCTTGTGTTAGTAAGTAGAGTCGGATGAGGATTAGCCCTGTTGCTCTATTTTGGATCCCTGTAGTCATACAGGAGTCTTGCTGCGAGGACAGGCATTGTTCTGCACCTACCCTAGACAAATTCTGTAGGAAACCCCCCTCCCATTGTGTTTGCACACATACTTGGATTTGAAACTCATCGTGGGTGTTGGTAGTGTCTATCTAGCTGAGTATTAAATGGGAAACTCTCCCATACACAGAAGGCCAAAGAAATGAGATGCTTCTTGCCCATCTCATGGATTCTCCAACTGGCCTTAAATGTGTAAGCAGGTCAGCAAGTGAGAAACTGTCTCTTCTTCAGAAGAGCAAGCTCGTCGTTGTAATGAGAATTATTACCTTAAGCTCTATGCTTCAATAGGTATTTTTTTAATGTCTCTGAATAATTTCTGCCAATAATTCATTGCCGTTAGTGGCTTATATTGCAACCCAGTCACAGGAAGGCAAATAGAATACAAGATGATACTTTTTTTGCTGCCCAGCAAAGGCCAGGTCTTAACTTCTTAAAGCAGAAAAAAATGTTTTCAGTGGAAAAATCGCCTACACACATAAAAGGGAGGTTATTGAACACGATCTCCAAGCGTCCACATCTTGTGTTATTGAAAAGACTTTTCTGGGTAACGAATGAGGATGACTTACGGGGGTTTGGTAGGAACCTTTCGGTAGCAGTAAGAGCTTTTTTTGTTATTTCACACCTCGGTCACTGTGAAGAGCCCGCTGCAAAAGAAACCTCAGGAGTCGCAGCAAACGTTTCCCCGTTTTGCCAAGCGTCTCGGTGTTTCCGTGGTTTTGCCACGAGGTGGCGTAGCGATCCTGCGTGGGTCGTGAGCCGGGTGGCTGTGCTGCGTGGGGAGCGCTGGGAGCCCCACGGAGGGGCTCGGAAACGGGGGGGGGTGGGTGTGTGTGTGCGCGCAGAAGGCTGCTTGAAGTGGCCACCAGCCCTTGGTCTGTCTGCCCAAAGCTGCTCTGTTTGTCTGCTGGCGCGTTTGGGTTTGTTCTCCCAGTTTTTGTACGTTAACCCGCTCAGCAGCTTGGGTGCGTATCGGGTTGGCGTTGGGAAGTTTTACATTTAAACCTGAGGGAGCTCTCGTAGGAGTACTCCAGACCTTTTTCCGCTATGAAGCGGGGGGTGTGTGCGTCAGTGAATGGTGATGTGCCACTTTCTGTATCGGCTTAAATAAATCACTATCTGCACCAAGGCGTCAGAGTTGTTCAATTTATCTGCGATGGGCAACTCTGGGAAAATCCTAGTGTTTGACCTTTTGCCCTTTGGATATTATTCTTAGCAGAGTTAGGTAAGGTCGATCTTGAGTAAAAGGTGAATTGCATAAGTAGGGATTGAAAGATCAAATCACAAGTTTCTTGCCTGACTGTTCAGTTTCCTCTCCAGCTTTACACACGCTTGTTGCAGTGTTTGCAAACACTGTATTTGGGTTCTTGCACACAATTTTGAAATGTAAATGTGACTTCTTATAATATCTCCCCTACTTCAAAATTTCCTCATGCAGAATCGGTATTGTTACAGCCTTAACTATTCCATTATTGCTGCAATGGCGCTGAGCTCAGAGAAGAAATTATTTGTCTTTTCAGTCACTTTGAGATCCTTGGTTTGCTGTGCTATGAAGTGCAACATCAGCCTATCCCTATTTTTGTTGCAAATGGGGGTTGAATGTTGTTGATGCATTGGCAAGACGAGGAGGTAAGAAGAGCAGCAGCCAGGTGTGCAATTTTCTACAGATAACACAAACGCTGAACTGAAGGTTGGAGGAGAGGTAACAACTGTGCTGACACTTGTCTTGGCTCAACGTAGAGAAAAGTACAGTCGGGGGAGTAGCTACAGTCAGTTTGTCCTACTTGGACCATCAAGTAACTTCACTTTGTGATTGCAAAGGTGGTTAGGATTCATTTCCCTCAAATCTAAGGATATAGTCTTGAGATTTGGCTCTTGGGATGGGAAAGGAGATATTGCAGGCAGTCGGATGCAGCCTGCACCAGCAGACCAAAAAAACCCGATTGCCCCATTCCAGCCTTGAATGTCATTTCTTGCCACGGTGTGTGGATCTGTCAAGCTGTTTAGCTGCAATATGACAGATTGTCCTATTAATGTGTCATCAAGTGCACTTTTACAAATTCATGGCTTGTCTACAACTAACCTGAAAAAAGAGGCTTAAGTATGAGAAGGCGCCAAAGAAAGTTAAATATTATTAACAAATAAAGTCTGCCACGTAGTTTTGATGGAATGTGAGCTAGTTGGGGGAGGGGTGATATGCTGTTAACTATTTAGCTTCTGTGTAACTTCCCTTCTTACTCTCTTTCCCAAACTCCATTTATTTCAAAAGATGCTTTTAAAAAAAAAGTTAAATCTGTATTATTCTACTTGATTTTGCACTCAGATTGTTCGTGCCTCAGTTTCCCTGAGCCATAGATAATAAAGCTGTTGCTCCTGAGCCGCCCTGGCTGCCTTTAAAGTCTGACGAAGAACTATGCTGGCATGATTACTTGAATTACAGAGGGCACGGTAACGGGAATGTTAAAAGTAAGTAAATCTGTTGCTTGCTGACTACATAAGGGACTTCAAATTATGTGATCTTCAACCTTTTATCATTCTTGGATTTTCTCATGGTACAAACTCGGATAAATTTTTGCCTCACACTCTGTATTCCTAGAAAGAATTAGGAATATTTGTTCTAGGTGGTGGGGAACTGACAAAGATTTGCAGGCTGTCCAAGTACTTCAGGATCTCCCTTCCAGAATGCTTGTAGGAGATGTGTAATCTTTGGGTTTCTGCTATTTTTAATAAACAGCTCACCCTCCTGTAAAGAAATCGGAAAGCCCCCACTGAGCCAGCCTCTGACGAGAGCTAGGGGAAAATGTTGTATGGAACACAACGAACTAGAGTAAAAAGCAAGAGTTCTGATATATCGATGTGTGGTGCGATACTGAGTGCATATTCCAAGCCACATATTTTTAGCTCTACCACACACTCGTGTACAGTTTTACAAACTTCCCAGAAAAATGGTGATTTCTCTGAGATAATGAAGGGGAGGTACAGAACAGGGCTGAGGGGAGGGAACAGGGAACGGGCATTGATTTAAATCTGCCTGGCACACAGGCCAGCTCCACTTATCAGTGAGTCTAATAGGAATGTGAAGAGAATGGGCTTGACAGCTCATTAGAATGTGATCCCTCCTCCTTTTTTTTCTTTTTTTTTTCTTCCCCCCCCCCCTGTTTCTTGAAGTTGATGGAAACTCATTCAGGAAAGAAGTACTTACTTGCTGAGGTGAAGCAAAAGCTGAGGAGGGTTTTGCCAGTGTGCAGCTGAGGAGTGGAGCAGCGAGAAAAATCAGATGTCATCTACACTCAGAGGTACCTGAAATCTTGCCTTGTGTGAGGGGAGATGAGGATGAAAAAAGAGACGAGATTCTACATCCTGACAGCTGCTTGCGGCATTGGGACTTACTGCTCATCGTCTCATTAAAGAAAAGTGAAGATAAACCCAGCTAAAGAGGGAGAGAAGCTAGACTTGGGAAAACTTTATCTGCTCCTAATGGACCTAGGTACATCCTCAGATTCTCTGCTTCTCACTGTTTTATGAGATGAGAAATTTATTTTCTCCTTAGAAGGCTGAGCACTTGGCTGAGCTGTGATGCTTCCAGCCTCTTCAGAAGAGCAGGGGCTGTAGCAACCTTGGACTACGGTTCCCCAGCACCTTGAAAGGAAAGGATGAGGACTTGTCACTGAGGACAGGGAAGTATCATTCGAGAGAGAATGGATGGAACGTATTCAAGCCGGCTTTGAACTGAACACAATGCTTCAAGTGACAGCAAGTGAAATCTCCTGTTGAAGAGGAACAACCTAACCACCCCCCTAATGAGTTTGTGTTGTCAGCTCTGGCCTGAGCAACTGTTGCCCTGAGCAATTTGACTTCTCTAGGTTTCATAGTTGAGTGCATTTTAAACGAGTCTGAAGACTTATTGGGGGGGGGGGAGCAACACTTCAAGGTGGGTGGCAGGACTTTCCAGGGCCTCTTGTATTTATGTAAGCTTCAAGAGGCTGAATGGACTTACCTCTTTCTTCGAGTGAATCCAGATTTTCAAACAAGTTTATCTATACCATTTCCATGTGTCCTGCTTGAACAGAGATCTCTCCAGCAACCAGCGCATCCGTGCATGCTGCTGATTTGACATTGCATAGCCCAGAGGATCATCTTTAATAGTTCTAACCTTTTTATTTTTCATTTTTTTAGAGAGAAGTCTGTGTCTATTCCTATTGTTGGTGGTGAAGGTTTTTGTGCTTGGAGAGTGCCCTTCCTGACTTGGCCCCTTCCTTTTCAAAATGAAGGGGTGCACCTGGGTATTTGTGGCATCTTTACTTTGTCAGCAGTTTTGCCTCTTCAGAGTTACGGCAGCAAAGAGAGAGAGGAAGATGAAGAAAGAACCTAATCAGTATACGGAGCCTTTCAATGTGACCCTCTCAAACAGTGAGGAACTGCACGGGCATCCCAAGGTAGGTGTTTATGTGTTGTCGGTGCTTGGTAGAACTTATTCCTGGCAGTAACGCGATGCCGGTTCCTTTTTCCAATGACTGAGGCAATCTTGCCAAATTCTATTTGATTTTAAAGAGAAATGTTCTCTCTTTTGCCTTTGCGTGATTGTTTTTTCTAGCTTACTGAAGCAAAACCTGGAATACTGCAAATTATTATTATAATTCATTTTAGAATATGCATGACTGAAGTTCCAGTCCCATAGTGGCTGATTAAGTGTAAAGACATTTTGGAGTTCTAGTGTATGAATGCTACCCTGTTCAAAAACAACTGATTAAAAAAAAGACAAGTGGGCTATGGCAGTAAAATACTGATACTGGAATATTAATGTATCTCTCGCAGGCAAAACTTTTGCTCTCTGGAAGGTTAGTTCAAAACTGTTTTAGGCATCAGTATAAACACCCGAGCATGCCTGAGCTTTCTCTGCGCTGCACCTTCCACCAGAGAGGCTGTGGTGATTGAAAATTACAGATGAGAAAAATTTTGATATAGTCAGATGATCTAAAGTGATTGTGGCTCTTGCAGGAAAGATACAGGATGGTGGTAATTGTGCATAAGTGGCAAGTGTAAGCGATGATACCTCAAAGGCTGTAGCTGTTGACTTGCTAGGCTTGGTGAATTAATTTTGCAGGATCCTTCCAGTTACATGTTTGGGAGAATCACTCCTGGCTCAAAGCTGCAAAAAATTTCCAGTCAATTGATCAGAGCCCCAGAATCCTTTAAGATTAAAAATGCTTAGGAGTAGGAGAGGGAGCTGGGGAATTAAAAGCATGTCCTAGGATTAGGAGCAGGATGAAATGGAAGGGAGACTACAACGCTGAGAAGGGAGGGAGCCTCCTCTATCAGACAGCCCCTTCTTTCTCTCTCTTTCCCTGCTCACACAAAAATGTCCCTTGTTTCAAATGGAGGTGACCTCTAAAACATGACTTTGATCACAAGCATTAGGGATGGCAGTCACTATAGCAATAGAGGAACCAACCTGTCAAAAATTGGGGCATGGCAGAGGGGGCAAGTTAGAACAATTGGGCTGACATTCTAAATATCCTGTTCAATGCTGTTGTGAGAGTAATTGGTTAAGGTTGGGCAAGTCTGGGAAACAGTCCTCTATATAAAAAAGCTGGCTGCTGCACTTAAAATTATCATTAGGGGACTGTAAGCAGCGTTTCTTCAGCTAGTTTTTTGTTGTGTATTGCTGGGTTCTGCCAGAACAGGTTGTATATGTGCTAAATTCTTGAGGTGCTTATAATCAATCACCTTCTCCTCTCTCTAGAACTGCTGCTTTTGCAAAAGAGGCCAGATACATATCTGGTGCAACTAAATTTCAGTCTGTTCTGGAATCAATTTGGCTTGATGTGAAATGGATTGGACCTCAAGCAGAATTATGTTCTGATTGCAAAAGCGAAGAGGAACTGGTCCTGGTTAATTCTGATACAGTCTTACATACGTTATTGCTAGAAGAAACACAGTAGTCATTCGGAGACCAGTGGGCATTCATTAAAACAGACATTGTTTGGAAGCTGCAGTTTCTGTGTTGAAATACTTTGCTTTAAAATATCCATGGCAAAGGTTTGGCTGCAGTAAGAGCTGGCACGTTCAGTGAAGGCAGGTTCTGTTTGATAAGGATAGGACAAACCCAGATCTTTGATGTAAATGCTTATGAGCTCTGCTTGATATCCACTCCCAAATTTTGCAGCTTGAACTTTCCTCCCTTGGAATCTATCTGAGGTTGAAGTCCAGCTTCTAGTTAAGTATTGCTTCTAAATGTCATGGGTGACTGTATTGCATTTGGTATTTTGTATAGCACCTGCCCAAGCTAAGGGATTATTTTACACATACTGTAAATGCAGTGCTTAAGAATTGCCATCGTTTCTGCGGTAAATGACAGTTGTCATTTACAGCAAAGCATCACAATTTGTATTCACTAAGGGAAGAAGTAAAGTAGTAGTAAAGCTATCCTTACCTAACCTATCATGCTAAAGGGAGGTTGAAAGCAGTTCTCTGTGGAAGACTGATCTTTTTGAGCCTTCAAGGTACTTCTGTGAGCAGTTTTGTTTGATGAAAGGATGCCCTGCACAGGAAAGTGAAACAACAACAGTGTCCCACTTCATTTCTCTACAGCACATAACAGGAAAGATGAAATTTTTTGGCCTTGTACAGTAAAAATTAAGGCTCTGTTTACCTTGGAAGACTCTGTGGCCAGCTGGTAGGTTTATCAAAGGAGAAGGGAATGAAATATTAGCTGAGAGTAGTGATTTTTATTCATACTGTTGAAAAGGTAGATAGATGTCTTTTCCTTCTAATTAAGCAAAACAATTCAGGACAAATTTCTCTTGGGATTTAAAATAGGCGTGGAGAAAGCTCCCATTTAACATTCTCAATGTATGAGTCATGTGGTGAAACCTCTACCTGAAGCAGGGGAGCAGAAGTCTCAAATCTCCTGATAAACCTGATGGACACGGAGGTTGTAATCTACTGGACCTTCTTTCTTCGACTGTGTGTGGCCGAGTACCTGCAGCAGCCACTTGCCAGGCTTGCCTTCCCCTTTCCAGGCATTGATCTTGTCTTGCAAGATGTGATACTGTACTAGCAGGGGTTGAGCAGTAGTAGATTGTCCAGTGGTTATAAGGGTTGACACTGGTCAGGAGTTACCATTTCATATCTGAGTAGAGGGAATAAAGCTGGAGTCAGAGTCTTAGTGCCCAGTGAAAGGACAAGAGGCAGCGGGTTCAAGTTGAAATACAGGAAATGCCACTTAAACATCAGAATAAAAGTTTCTTTTGGTTGGTCAAACCAGTTGAGGTTGGTCAAATACTGGAAAAGGCTGGATACAGTTGCTCTGGAAGCTTCATCCTTGGAGACAGTCAAAACCTGGCCAGGTCTGGAGTAACCTGTTGTAGTTCACCTGCTTAGAGCCAGGGGTGTTGAATTAGAGAGTCTGTGGATGTCCCTTCCAACTTCAGCTGCTCTGTCAGCTGCTTTTAGGGGTAGTTCAGCTAAGCAAGGTGAAGGCAGCATCCTAACCTGGGGAAAATTATTGACTCAGCGTCCCAGTGAAATTTCAGGGATGATTTGATGTCAGCAGGATTTTATCTTCACTGGAATTTCTGCAAGAAAAAGTATAATCTAAATTTGGTTACCCACTACATAGCCAAAGAGTCTTTGAAATTTTATTGCCTTTGTGATCCTTCTGTCAAATATCTAGGGCTAGGTCTACCTGGTTTATTACTTAAATCTCTCTGAATTATTTCTTTGGGGCCTTTTGCTTCCAATTGAGAACAGCAGCTGGTTCACGGACGTTGCACAGGTTGCATTCCTCCTCTGGAAAGAGACTTCAGTCTTAGCCTGAAGTGTGTGATTGCATGTGTAATTGAGAAAAGTATTTTTGGGTCTGACAAGTGTTAAAGCCATGGGACTGTGACCTACCTGTAGTAGAAGATGTTATCTTTCATGTTTTGTATCTGTCATCATTGTTAGTCTTGCTCTGGCATAGTATGCACAAGAAGGGCTATAACAAATAACAAATACATGCTTTTCCTGGCAATTCCTTGTGGCTCACGTGAAATAATATTGGATTCATACACCTGACTCAGCGTATCAAATAATTCAGTGCTCGGTCTCATTTCTCAGAGTCTGTAAGACTTTTAAAGCTCATTATTACAGTACCTAGTCCTACATCAGATGTGGGTTTGCATGTTAGACGCATTGTGCTCCACCCGTTGTGTTGGTGCTATTCAGTTCCTCGTCAGGGCATCCCTAGAGCAGAACTCTGCTGACACGTCCAGGGCTGGCACTGATTAACGTTGCGGTACGGATAACACAGCAACAAACACCGTGTCGTTTTCTCACCCGGAGTAGCTCGCGCTCACATGAACTAGATGCCACTAGATTCTTTAAATTCAGTACGGGCGTGCCCACAGTTTGTGTTTAAGTGGAAGGGAGAAGCTTTTCGAGATAGCCATTTAGAGGAGTGAAGTATAATTTTTCAATCACAAAACATAGTGGGAATTTAGGTAGGAATGCCATTTTGGATTTGGCTAAGATACCAAACCTAACACTTCTGCTCTAGGGAAAATTCTTGAGAGATCTGTAAAAACCACAAGTGGTCAGGACCTTGGTTTTACATCTCATTAATAACCAAGAGTGTGTATAACCATAAGTTATTAGCAGCTGACATAGGATTTTTCATGCTAAAAACAAAAAAAAAGTTGTCTGTCACATTTTAACCTGTTCCAAGTAAAATATACTACTGAAATAAATAATTTGCTCCTAATGTCATAATTAGGCTGGCAATACTCTTGCTGGTGTAAATCAGGTGTAACAACATAGAATTTTGTGGATTAAGATAATTGAAAGGCTTTGTTAGGTCCATTTTGTGTCTGGCAACTGCTTAACTATTAAACAAAGAATTCTTAAATACAATTCCATCACAGGTAGACTAATACATAGATAACTGAGCAAAACTGGCAGGGCTGTAACCACAAGACTGTGGACTGGAATGGTTAGGTATACATTTATACATTCTTGGACACACATCTCTGACTAATTACAGGTGGAAAGGATGCTGTCCTCTCACAAAACTGTAACCTTTTCATACTCTCTTTCCATCTTGTCCCACCCTGAGAAATGCTTAGGTGTGCCTGAGAACACTATGAGATGCTTTTAGGTGTACAGACTTGCTCACAGGCAGTGTTGACTTTTTTTTTTTCTTTTATTCATCCAGACCCTGAAACTACTTTTGTCCATCTCACTTTGGTTCTTAGCAGAGACGCAGACTGGATCCCAGCATCCTTGAATTTCAGGAAAGTTCAGATACAGTTCAGAAATTTCTCAGGATCCAAACTCTGCTGCTTGACTGTAGATTTCTGCTGGTAGTTTCTTCCACACCGGCTGAATCTCGGCCAGAGACCGTGTGTGTCTCCGGGCAGTGCGTGCTGTTCTGGGAATTACAGCCAGAAAGAACCGCAGGTTCTGCTTGTGTATGGCAGTCTAAATTACAGCTCAACTTGTCTTTTATTGTGAGGGAAGTTAGGGAGAGAGCGGGCTAATTTCTCATCGGTGTCATAAACTGGTTCTGAAGTGATAGGTGCCGTTGTATTCAGATTCCAAAGCAACATTAAAAAAACCTGATTGAAAGTTCATTAAAAAGTGCTGGCAAGGCTGCTGTTGATTTTGGAGGTGCTGTTTCAAGTGTTAAGGGGTAAGCCTGATTTCACTGGAGTTAACGTGAGGATTCCTCCTGGCTCCTGTAGCTTAGCTCTGCTCTGCAAACAGCACCCCAGGAAGGACGAGTCCCCTTTGCGGGGATTCCAAGGCTGTTCTCAGTCCTGACTGATACCTGTGCTGGCTGCAAGGTCTCGCTGGCTGCTGGAGGCTCCTGCTGCCAAGAAAAATAGAGGCGTGCATGCTTATTGCTGGGATTGCTCATGCATGCCATAGTAATTAAATAATAATACCACAAGGATGGAACATTCATTTTAACTGTCAATCATCCTTGTGCTGGAGAAACTGGGGAGTGCCATGACCGTCTTGTAGAGGGATTTGTAATTTAAGCAAGCCACTGGAGAGGTATGGGATTCTTTTTTTTTTTTTTAAACTTCAGGAGTTTTTCATTTATTTTTCTGGGATATGCCATCTGGATTTCTTTTTTTGCCCTGACAAGATGTCTGCTCTGGCCTGTTTCTTCACAGCTGGAGCTCCGGAAAGGCTGAGGACATCCGTTTGTCTTCACAGTTAACGGTCAGAGCCTGCCCATGATTGCTGGCTTCTGCTTCTAGCTGGCCTCTTTCCTCATTTTTGCAGTGGAGGGGTGTTTGTGCCTGTCTTGCAGCCTAGTGGAAACCAGGAATATTTGAACAGTCTCTTCCACATCTGCAGCAAATGCTGCATCCCAGTTCCTAACATTCTGGTCTTGTGTTTGCCGTCTTCTGGAGACTGCACTTCTGAGTTCCTGCCACGTGAGCCTGCCCTTCTTGAAGGATGAACTGATTTTATTTTCCTTTTCTCTGCAACCCAGCCATTCTTTTGCTGCTTTCTGTTACAGCGCTGAGCGAACACACCATCCTGCCTGAATTGGGTGCTTCTATTAAAAAGTTGCTTCCTTCTGTTTTGTGAACTGCACTGCAGCTTTACCACAGAGTCACTGGGACAAAACGACATCTGCTTCCTTTGGGCAAAGCACAGGTAGACTTTTACCTACTTTACGTTTATGAGCTTTGTAAACTTAAATGCTCATGAACGGAGTCCTCTGCACACACCATGTGTGCGGTGATGCTGCACCCGTGTAAACTTGAATGCTCATGAACGGAGTCCTCCGCACACACCATGTGTGCGGTGATGCTGCACCCATCTGTTTTCAGGTGAAGTGGGGTAGGAAAGAACTAACTTGTCCCACCAGAAACCATTAAATCTCCATGAAACGCGGATAAATATATTTCATGTTTGTTGTAGAAATAAGCTCCGCCTCATGTACTGTTCTAAGGACTTTTGCAAACTTTAAGAACGTTTGCCTCTGTACTTGATGTTTACATGTTACAATAGATGGAGAGGTTTGCACCAAAGGACCTTCTCGGCCATAAGAAAGAAATTCTTTCTTATCCTTTGCAAAAATCTGCCATCAGGCGATCTCTGGGAAGATGATAATGCTTTTGTGAGGTGACTAATCTCACGATGCCTGGGATTTCCTATGGTGCTCCATTTACTTTACTTTCCAATGGAATTTTGGACTAGATTGTTATGAATACTTTGTCTTGCTCTTGTTTGCAACACACCCTAAATCTGAGCATCGGTGGGCGTGTGCATAACCATAACTCTGGCTCTGATTAATTACGCTAGAATGCATGAGCACTATGGCATAATGTCTCGGGATATCCTTGCTTTGGCTTAGAGCACAGACGCCAGCTCCTCTGCAGCCTTCTGTCTGGAGAGGAGAAGTTGACTGCCTGAATCGAGCGATTCAATAGGAGAAGATCTTTCTGTGGGTTGTGTCTGAGCAGTAAATCACCTAAGATTATTTGCTGAGTAGAGAAGAGAGGGTTGGCTTTGCAGCGTTTGAGATGTTTAACAAATACCCTTGCTCAGCTCACAACACATCTGAGCTCATATTCTGCTCGTTTGTAAATCATTTGTTGACCCGGGCTGTTTGAAATAAATAGTTGTGATCACATCAGCTCAGAAATCCAAGTGCCTTGTACTACACCCATGTGCCTGGATGCATGCCGGAGGGAGAGCTTTCCAGGCTCTGCATCAGCTTAGAAGCACCGACATTCCTTATAACCTCAAGCTGGAACTCCGGCAGACTTCTAAGATTTAATTTTGAAACAATTTATGGTGCACGGATTTTTCATAGCAGATCACACAGACTGTGATCTTTTCTCCTCAAAATGGGCTTGCCCTGATATTTCTAGCTAAAATTTGCAATCCTTTGTCCAATTCCAGTGACACACATTGCAGTTATTGAGACATCAGCTCTACCTGCATTCTAAAGGTTAATTGTTTTCTACATGCTTCTGCAGACTATTTGATGAAAGGGATTCTATGTTTATAAATGGTACTAGAAATGTTATTAAAACTCAATATAGTTCTCTGAGAAGTGGCAAGTGCTTTAGGGAGCCAAGCAAGACAGGTAGTGAGCAAACGTAGATGTTTGCTAACCTGGCTGCGTTGGAAGCACCTTGCACGGTCGCTGTTACTGCTCAGGCCGCTGAGTGCAGAGCTATAGCGTCTGAGCTGCGGCACAACCGTCTGGTGCTGTCAGACTAGTAGGAGCTTAATACCCAAGGGCAAACACTTTTAGATCAGAAAAGTGCGCTGTTGACTGGCTTTGCTTCTCTGCTTTTTCCACACCCATCTTGTTTTCTTCCTCCCGAATGGTGATAGATCAATATTCATTTACCTAAACTTGTAACGCTCTAGGAATCGTTTCAAATGTCATTCAACCCACCGCTGCCTTGTGTTGCTTTGCTGCTGGAATTCTGATCTGGACCTGTTCTGTCTCACCAGGAGAAGAAAAAACACGTTTCTTGAATGAATTCCAAAAGTTTATGATAGGCGTAGGGTGGGTTTTTTGTTTGTTTGTTTATTTTAAAGATTTTAAGTGTTCATTGCAGTTTTTCCTCTGGCTTTTTCATTAATGGCTCTGAATACTTAAGCATGATTCATGAAACTTTGGAAGGGCTTGTGCTTTTATCCTCTCTGTGATGGACATTTGTGTCAACAGATTGGAACCTCCAGAGTCAACGGTTAATTGCTCTTGACAAGAGCATTGGTAACCAGTGATTTCTGGTGTCTTTTTTTAATTTAAAGTTAGAAGTTTATTCCTAGCTAGGAGAAAAACAACAGATCCTATTTGATCACTTACTTGTGGTTGTCTCTGGGAGGTGAGTAATGGGAATGAGAGAGTCCAAATTCATAAAGACAGATCCTCTCTTCTGCTCAGGCTTTGTTTAGAAGGGATCCAGAACTAGGCACTGTAATGCCAAAGCTTCTCTGGATAATTTCTCTATGTCTATGGTATACTTGCAGAACATAGGAATGGGCAAGATAGTTAAATTTGCCAATGGACATCTTTGCTGCGATCAGACGTGGACTTTGTCAGACGTGTGATTATTTTATTTTTTTTTTTCCTGTGTGCACATTTGTCACTCTACAGCCTGTGATTTGAAAGTTACAGAGCGTTTCAAGGTTTTCTGTACATTTTAGTCTCACTGCATTGCTTCATTGATCCAACTGATAAGTGTCAGGTGCCAGTGGTGAACAACTCCTGGCATCTGGGCAGGTTTTCTGTGGCACGTATTAGGACTGTCAGAGGGCTGAGAGTCTCAGCAGCTTGAGAAAGGTCTCTGAGGTACACCAGCTCCCTGCTCTTGGCTCTTTACTGATTTCTTGAGCAAAGGGAGCTGGGGGGCCCTGCAGGTGAAAGCATAGGAAGGTATGAGAAGGCATTTTGATGTTTTAAGGACAATATCTTCTGGCTTTCAGGGCATTTCTGCTGGCAGGCTTGGCCTGTAACTTGTGAAGGAAAAAAACCCCACTCTAATGGGACTCTTGGAAAGGCTGGCGTCTTTCATACGCAGCGTCAGAACTCAGATTGAAGGACTATCCTGCATTTTCAATGCTGCTGTAAATGAAGGCAAAAAGTGGCATGGTACTGGATAATCCAAACCGAATTGCTTGTTACAGAAGCGTAAAATCCCATTTTATCCTACTAGAGTGTCCTCTCAAATGCAGAACCGCAAGGATGTGGTTTAGGCAGCAGCAAACAGTCTGATATGGAAACTTTGCATTCTCTGAACCCATGTAGTGGCCAAAGAGATACAGTGATATCAGTTTTTGTTCTTGTTTCTCTTTAGATCCTAGAATCTCCAGATCCTCGAATCACGGATCCACGGCGGACCTGGATCTCCTTTGTTCACCGCCCAGATGATGGCAATACCTCTAAAAGGAGATGCAAAGGGAAAGACAAGAAATTAGTAAGTTATTGACAGATCGCCATCAGATAATAAATGTGCACTGTGGCTTCTCTTCCCGCTGCTGATATGCGAGGTGTTTTGTATGCTCCAGCTTTTGCCTTCCCACCCCAGAGTGCACTGTGTTTTCGTTTGTGTTTAATTTCTCAAAGTCTTTTGTAGACGTTTGAGACAATAAGTGCTATATGCTTTGTAAGATAAGGTATGTGAATTCCACTGTCAACATTCATTTTTGTTTAAACCAGCTGTTTCTTGGACTGAGCGGGTTTTTTTGTTTGCTTTCTGCTCAGTAGAAATAAAATTAACATTTTTTTTCTCCCACTAGATAAAGTCCAAGTATTTCAAGGTGTGGACAAGTCGTTCATTTCTAATGGATGAATTACTGATCATCCACTGAGTGATGCTTGATCACGTGTGCACTTTTAATCTGCTGCTTAGACAATTTCAAATGCTTTTAATGATTTCCTTTGATTTCTCAGTGACATGGTAGGCAGGCACGCCTCCGTGCGGGTTTACTGCAGTTTAGTTGAGGAAACAGGAACTCCCTGGGAATGATGTACATCAAAATAGCATTGCTAACGCTGTTGCGTCTTCTAACGACTATTTTAAAGCTTTAATGTGTGTGGCTAACCTTTACAGGTGTTTTGAATGAACTGTTTCGTTTTCTCCCCAAGAGCTCTAACTGTCGCACCAGACACTCATGCATGTGATCGTCATGTCAGAGCAATATATATTAATAACGTAAAGTGTGGCTAGATGGCTGTTCTAGTTAGCGAATAGGCAGAATAAGAAGCTTAAAGGCTTGCGTGATACTTTGGTGGTACAAGAAGACACAGAAGCAGCAATCTCAATCTTGTGCCTGTTGTGCTTCACGCTGTATATATGTCATTGAAGAACCAGTTCGTGTTTACCTGAGCAAAGTTTATCCTCCCGCAGAAAGACGTGAGTAATTTCCAAGCGCTGGAATTCACAGCTGGCTCGAAAGTCGGTTTAAGATTTACTGCATCAGGCCCGCAGTTGAACCGATAGCGGAGGGGGCTGCTCACGTGGCTGACAGCCCTGTAGAACTGGCTCATGGCTGAGAGAATTTTTGTTCTGTCAGTGCAATTGCCTGGTTCTAATTCACATGTTTTTCTTTGGTTGCTTCCTTAGCGTGGCCTTGTTGGGCCCCCAGGACCTCCTGGTCCCCAGGGACCTCCAGGAGCACCTGGTGCTGAAGTCACCCGGGAAGTCCTCCTGCAGGAGTTTAAGGAGATATTAAAAGGTAAAGACTGTAAGGCCCTTGTATTTTATGATCTGCTTCTTTTGGTAAGCACCATGGCAAATAAAGAACTGGCTTTGCAAACATTTCCCTTTAAGCATTTCCCTATCTGGCAATCAAAAATTTGAAAAATGTTTCCCCAGTGCTGCTTAGTTCAAGTTGAAGAGTTAAGTGCAGAATTCTAATTGCACAACTAATGGCTTCATAGACCAGGCTCTTAAACTAAGCCTTTATTTTCCTATACTTTTTCTTTTCTTCTCAGAAGCCATTGAGCGTCGAGCATCCCTGGCTATTTCAGCCCATCCTAGCCAGCTGCCTCCACTCCTGCTCTCCTTGGAGGAAGTTTCGCCCCACAGACATGTAGAGGAGGCATTCCATTGCAAGCTAAAAGGACAAGTCATTGTAGATAAGAAGACCCTGGTAGAACTTCAGAACTTCCAGTCGGTGAGAAGGGATTACAGACTGAACCTGTGCAACTCCTCAACAGCCATTGTGCGTAGATCAGCTATAGATCCCCTAGTCTGCAGAGCTGCAGGGTGGCTCTGTAGATAAAGGTGTTTCCCGAAAAGGCAGACTAGTCCCAGAAGCTCGTCTCACACTTGGATGCTATGAATATAACACTACCTTTTTTGTGATTGACAGAAGTAGGATCTCATATGGTGATTTCAGCACTGAAGCTCAACTGCAGTGAGATGGACGTTTAGCTTTGAGTCCTCTCCTTCCTGACAAACCCAAGAGACAGACTTTGTTCCTCTCTTGCAGCCCAGTGGAATCTCATTACAGTTCTTACTGAAGTCCTAACAGGTCTGTGCAGGAGAGGGCTGTCTCACAGGTCCAAACAACAGTCTTTTCATTTCAGTTAATGATGGAGAAAGACTTGTCCATGTTTGGCATTAGTCTGAAGGATCTATTCTTTTTTTCAGTGCACACCCTGTTTAATTCCAGGGTAATGTTCAGATGTAGAAAAATGTCAGAGGCAGGCAGAAGCCATTGGTTATAGATCTGTGAGCCCAAATAAGATCCATCATTTTGTTAGATGGGCCAGTCCCGATGTTCAAATTCTTTACGTGATGTTTTATAGAAGACTAATAAATATGACCTATATAATTTCATTATAGTAATGTTGTAATGACAAGCACACCATCATGGGGTGCTGTAGGTCATTATAAGCATGGCTACAAGCAAGCTGTTGAATTTGATATAAAAACTTCTACTAACCGTTTCTGCGCCAGTTGCAAATAGGATCTGAATTTGAAGTATAAATGTTAGGCAAATAGCTAAACCCAAATAATCACTTCGTAATTGAGGAGACTTATTCTAGTCTTTGGAGTCACAGGGACTGTCTAATAGCACAAGGCCTTCAGATACACGGTTACTTTTGTGATGTGACAAGAAGAGTTTGAAGAGCACGAACAGGGAACATGGCTTTCCATCAGCAGGGTTTGCTAACACTGTCCATGCAGTGAGGTGCTGAGCTTTCTTCCCAGCTGCACCGAGTCCTGTTTCTGAAGAATCCTGTCCAGCAGATCCTTTCCTATGGAGCAGTTGTGCTGTTAGGACTTCTCACAGCTGCAGGACTAGAGGCAGTGGTTATGTTCTGAATAGGGTGCTTTCCTGGATCTTTCCCAAATACGCTAGTGGAAGCCTGGTTTGACAGCGCTGTGGGTGCTGGCACGGAGGCAAGATTGTACTTCAAGTGTGGGCAGGGCTAGAGAGATCTGCTGCCTCATTAATTAGGAGGGAAAATATGAATAAAGACGTCTCGGCAATCAGTGCGTAGGCTGATGCTTCCCATGCTTTGTTATCATATGCCTAGCTGCTTTCTAATTGCTTCTGGCCCCGAAGCTGCTGTGGGAGGGCTGGCAGGCCTCTGGGTGCCAGCCTTTCATTTCAGCTTTGGGACAAGAAGTGTCTGGTTTTAGCATGTGCTCTGATAGAGGGGAATTCAGCAGGGAGGGAGACAGTGGATGCTCTTGCGAAGATGAAAACATCGTCTTTAAACAGACCAAGGAGGGGGAGAGAGAGAGAATTCCCCTCCCTCCGTTCTGTCAGGTTAATAGCATGAAGAAGCCAACAGTTTGATAGTTCTCAGTGAGATGATAGGGATTGACTCTAATTCCTGGATTTGGACCTTACCCAAAGCATTTTGAGATAGTGGAAAGAAACTGCTGAGAAACAGTCTACCACTTCTATACTCTGTCATTTGAGTGCGGTGTCTAAGTCACTCTGACCTTGACTATTGAGAGAGCATGATGGTTTTCTCATCCTTCCGTGCTAAATTTCCTCCAAGAAATTCCCTCCCTCTCTTCCTCTTGGTCTCACAATTTCCTTTGTATCTGGAATGAAACATGTGATGCTCCTTTCCACGTACCTCTCCCTCCTGTATCTCTCTCCTTGAGGTTCCCAATGATTGCCTCTCGCAAAAGTTTTCAGAAAGGTACTTTACACGGCGAGAACTGAAGTAACTGCGACCTCTGACTGGCCATGGAAGTGGGATCTATCTGGGGCCCAGGAACCTTACTGGAATCAGATCGTTTAAGGCTAAGGTGGCCCACGTGCTTTTCATGGTGAAAGATCACAGAAGGAGTCCTGGTGTCTCTAGTGCCCTGAGGTCGAGCCAAATGTCGGCCTTTGGCAGTTGAATTTTATTGGTGCTTTGGGAGACTGGTGCATCCCCTGCGCGTTGTGGTTGCTGTGCAGGTTGGGTTATCCTTTAATTACAGATAAGTCAATGCATTGCTTTCCACAGTGTTTACCACTGAAAAGCGAAACTGGCAGTTCCCATTTCAGTTCTCTGTGCACGGTTCCTATTTTCCACCTGGAAGTAAACTACGGAGGAATAGAAACTGTCTTTGGTTTATACAGAACGGCCGGACACTAACTTGTTTGTTTGCTTTTGGTCTCCTTACTGAAATAACTGTGTGCAAGTAGTTGGTTTCTCCAGTAGAAATCGCTGCAGTGTTTGAAGCAGCTCGGTGAGTACGCTGCTGTGAGGCTGCAAACGCAGCAGGGAGCTCTAATTGGCGTGGGGGTTGATGGAATATTTTGCCCAGAGAACCTCTCCCTGCATTGTCTATTTCTATGAGCAAAAGAATAACAAAGCCACAGAGGGCGTGAAGAAACAGGAATGTTTTATCAGTGATAATTTACTGGTGCCTAAAATTGCCTTCCATGCTCAGCCAGTGGTTTTGGAATTATGTTGCTGATTGTGCTAATAGCTGTAACAAGAATGGAATGAATTAACTACGCAGTACAGCTTTGCACATACAGGGCTTGGGTCTGCTCTTTCAGTGAGGTAAATCAAAAATAGTGTTACCAAAAATGATGGTGTAGTGATAGCATAAGAACAGAATCAAGCTCTTTCCGTAGTCTGTTGTTAGGTTAGCTGTTATATTGTCCGTGTGTGTGTGTAAATAGAGCTCCTTTTGTGTGTATAGACGTGCACGTAGGCACACATCAGTGCACGTTGAGAAGTATAGAGACTTAGAAATCATTGTAGGAAATGTAGCTGTCCTGCAGTTCATTATTACTGTTTTCCCACTATACATATGTAATCTTATGAGAAATGCCACTGCTGTTGCATATGGATATATTTTCACCACCATATGCATGCATAAAACATTTCTAGTAAAGTTCGGTGACATTTAGGACTACAGCTAGATCTTGGTAAATAAGGACTGGGATTTACTCTTTTGTGAGCCTTGCCTGGGATTTGCTGAATAAAGGCAGGTTAGTCATTTCACTCTGTCTACTATGTAGTAACTCTCTAAACAAACACCACCAGACCCAAATATTTGCAGCCTTACTTCCTTTGAAAGAGAAAGCAAAATAAATTATTCCTACCCTGCACTGTGAAAGCTGGCAATTTCTGGCTGTGATCAACCAGAACGGGGAGACAATTGACTTCCTTCTGGTACTTGAACAAAGGTGTTCTGCTGCTTTTTTTTTTTTTAGTGTAATAGCACCTGTGGCAACACTGCTACAAATTTGTTCATCACATCTCAGACCCCTTTCGCCATCTAGTATTGGAAAGCGTACTCAAATGTTGGATTGTTGAGGTCGCTCAACTATGCATTTGTTCATGTTCTAGGAATACAGCAGCGTGCGTGCCTTTACAAAGTCAGATTTGAACAGCTCTTCTGTCCCATCAGACCAACGTGGGGCAAATCTCCCAGGACAGCATTCATGGGAACGCGTTCACGTTGCACAGAATGCCCTTACGGTGGAAGCAGAGTCTGACTAATGTGCTTTCTTGGCCCATTGAAGCCACTCCTGCTTCTCCCCAGCTCGAGCCAAATTCATATGAGGCAGGCCAAAACAAACAATAAACATTTCTCGCAGAGTTTATTTTAGTCTGAGTCAGATAATCTGCTGCGAGTTTGACTTAAGACCGCTTCCTTGCCATGAGGAGAAGCTGCATGCTATTTTACTAGGTTTTTGCCTATTCTGTAGAATCCAAGGCTAGAACAAAATGAAACTAAATATGGAATCTGTAAGAATCCAAGCGGTTGTTCTTTAACAGTATCAAAGCTGCCTGACTGAGACCTAAAGTGGGTTGAAAACCTCTGGAGACCCAGATGAGTGTTTCCTCTCTACCTGTATCACAAAAACAGGGTATAAAGTTCCAGGTTTTTAAGCCTGGGGATACTGGTTGGCCCCATCTAGGAAGTCTTTGGTAGTAGCAGGGACCTCTTGACTCAAATAACGGGAGATCTTGCGTATTGGAACATCAGTGGAGGCTAGAGGCCACCAGGACCAGCAGAACATAGGGATGCAGTAAGCACAGTCTGAGTCAAGATGAGTTAGAAGAGTTTGGCAGTGGGCAAAAAGGACATCTTCATGTCTCATACTGATCATTTTGCCTTTCGTGGGCATCAAATTCTGAGAGTGCGCCCACCTGGAAGGTGTGTTCTGGGGACATAAGGCAGTAAGGCCTTGCAAATTTTTTTCAGCTTTGTTCTCATGCACATAAGCTTATTCTTTGTCACGGGCAGAAATAATTGTTGAGAGTGCTGGGGACTTGTTCAGGGTCTGCTTTTTTATCTTACAGCCTCTGGCCAAAGGAGCTTTTCTCCGGGGGACGGGATTAAATCTGGCAACAGGACGTTTCACAGCACCTGTGTCCGGCATCTACCAGTTTTCAGCAAATGTCCACATTGGTGAGTGTTGTCCACAGAAACCTTTTCTGTACTGCTTGAGAGGTGCAGGAAGGAGTCCTGGAGAACTCTCTGGGTCCTGTTTGATTTGAAGCATGTGTGATGGCAGCCCTTTGCAGTGAGCTTTCCCTTCGGTACCATGACCCAGAACCCTGTCCTCAGGGCTGGGTGCTGTCACAGCCACAGCAGGCTGCTCCACGCACACCAAACAAATCAGCACTCCTTATGGAGGATGAGTTTAGGGACCAAATATATTTGTGTGTGGAAGTTATGGCTTCCATGAAAGACTTTAGAAGAAATGGACGTGATGATGTAGAATTGCATCAAGGCGGTTTTGACTGTGTTTTGTCACCAGTGCATTTGTTCAATGGTTTTAATCGTTCAGTGATGAAGTATTTTATGATCCAACACCAGAAGGGTGCTTTCCTAAGAAGCTGTGGTGGGTTGACCCTGGCTGGACACCAGGTGCCCACCAAAGGCACTTTATCACTCCTCCTCCTCCTCAGCTGGACAGGGGACACAAAATATAACAAAAGGGTCGTGGGTTGAGATATGGACAGAGAGATCACTCACCAGTTACTGTTATGGGCAAAACAGACTCGACTTGGGGAAAAAGTAATTTAATTTATGGCCAATCAAATCAGAGTAGGATAATGAGAAATAAACCCAAAATCTTAAAACACCTTTGCCCTACCCCTCCCTTCTTCCCAGGCTTAACCCTGCTCCTGATTTTCTCTACCTCTTTCCCCCAGCAGCGCAGGGGGATGCGGAATGGGGGTTGTGGTCAGTTCATCACACCTTGTCTCTGCTGCTCCCTCCTCCTCAGGAGAGGACTCCTCACACTCTGCCCCTGCTCCAGCGTGGGGTCCTCCACGGGCTGCAGGTGTATATCTGCTCCACCATCAACCTCCATGGGCTGCAGGGGGACAGCCTGCCTCACCACGATCTTCTCCATGGGCTGCAGGGCAATCTCAGGGTTGTTTCTCTCACATATTCCCACTCCTCTCTCTGGCTGCAATTGCTCTTGCTGTCATGCAGGTTTTTTTCCCCCCTTCTTAACTCTGTTATCCCATAGGCACTACCGCCATTGCTGATAGGCTTGGCCTTGGCCAGCAGTGGGTTTGTCTTGGAGCCGGCTGGCATTGGCTCTGTCAGACACAGGGGAAGCTTCTAGCAGCTTCTCGCAGAAGCCACCCCTGTAGCCCCCCTGCTACCAAAACCTTGCCATGCAAACCCAATACAGAAGTCACAAGGTTACTGGTGTCTCTGTTAAGCCAAACGCCAGCAACTGGTGGTCTACTACGTTGTGAAAGTACTTATATTTCTTCCACTGCTTTCTCCAGACCACAGTGAGTTGAAGAGTAAAGTCCAACTCCGAGCCAGAGATAATGTCCGAGTGTTGATCTGCATTGAATCTCTGTGCCACCGATACACGTGAGTTACAATGCTGTCTTGGCAATCATTTTTCTCAGATGGGCCAATGTTTTAACCAGCTGTGGAAATCAGGTTGACCAGTGAATTTTATATGATAAGTGCTTGTAGAACTCTTCTCAAGAGAGTGATTCCATCTGGCCCTTAGGTTTTATGTGGGTTTTTATTCTGATTTTTAACCTTTCAGTGCTAGTTACTCTAAATAGCTAAATATTATATATGTTGAGAGAATTGTGAATGCAGTCGGCTGAAACTGGATGTAGCTAAAGGTGCCGAATGCTCAGCTACGACCATCAACATAGAGTGTGAGAGAAACACTTTAATTTTGTGCCAGAGATCATTAGGCCAATTTTTATAATTTCAGCTGCATTCTGAATGGATCGCAGCATCTCACTCACGTTGCCATGGAAGCGTTGGAGTAATGAGGAGAACGAATAGGTGGAAAACGGAGGTGAATGGGTCCCGAGGCAGGAAGCGCAGGGCTTGTACGCAGGTGTATGATACCTTCTCACAGCCCTCAGCTGCCTTGTGGAGCTTGCTCAGACAACCACGCTGAATTTTCCTCTGCTGGGATCCATTAGCAAAACTCTGCTGAAGAAACGCTTTTGTTAGGCCATCGCAACCTTGGGTGTTGCTCTTTATGCGATGGGCCGTGGCATCAGCGTTCTGTTGGCTGCTCTTCTTTGCTGGGCTTGTGTCACCCTTTCAGCTGCGGCATGTAGGTGCCCTGCGTCCCAGAGAAGGCCACCTTGCTCAGGAGGAGTTTGGCAAGATTTGCTTGGCGGAAGGGGCTGGGGAACCCCCGGGCTGGGTTGCCCCCAGCAGAGGGCAATGCTGCTTGCACACAGTGGCCATCGCTGCTGCTTGCGTCTCGGCTCTTGCCATGGGAGGAAAAATGCCTGCACAGGGCTGGGCAGATTCGCTCTGCCCTGCCTGCAGCTCTTCCAGCGCAGCTGTAGCAACCCTTGCAATAGCACCACTGAAATATGGCCATAAAATGACTCCACAGGTGCAACTTCAAACCCACAAGCCCATAAATTTGCAGCTGGACTGGCTGCTTCAGCCCTCACCTTCCCTGCTCCGTGAGTCAGAGTGCTGCAAATAGGACAGACCTCTCCACAGGCATTTCAGCTTAGAGGCTTTATGGTGGGTAAATTTGACATGAATCCTCATTTAATAAATAAACCTCTCTTAGGTTTCATTGGCCTGTGGAAAAGACTTGATTGATATCTGAGTACCCGTTAGTAACTAAGGTGAGAGGGAGCTGCGTGCCCACTGACCTGATGGGAAGCCAAGGAGTTTGCTGACTGGAGCAACTGGCACCTCCTCAGCCTTGTAGACTGTTTTATAACAGTCTTTTATGATTGCAGCACTTACCGTGAGGCGGTGACAGACTGGCTGCAGTCACGGTGTCAGCAGAAGAAGGGGTGGTGTAACTTCTCGCCCCTTTAAGGGACATCTCGTATTCTGGTAAGCTGCAGAACTTACGGGACATTTCATTTCTGGCACTTGTGAGGATTCCTTTAGATCATGCTAAGAATGGACCTCAGCCTGGTCTTGAAATCATAGAATCATGGAAGAATCATTATTTCTTCAGCATCAGGGCTTTTTTCTTTTCACCTACGACAATCTCCTCTTATCTTAGCAATTACATCAAACACAGGAGTCATGCTCCTAGCCCTTGGATTCCCCATGAACAGAGACTGCAGGCTCCACAGAATCCTTTTCTACACGCTTTTGGGATGTGGAAAGTTATTCCCCGTTGAGATGTGGAAAAATATTGCCAGTTGGTGGTGTTGACCTGATGATATGTCAATAAAGATTTGAGTGAATGAGTGGGGGAGATTTATGAAGCCTCCTAAGAGGATTTCTAAGTAAAATTGCTCCTGCAGATCTCCAAGAGTAAAAGGCTGTTCTCTCATCCTGATCTCCACTCTTCTGTCTTCCGTTACAGAACCATACAGAAAATCTAAATTCCATTTAACCAATTTTGCAAAACTAATTAAAGTGACAGTGGTGAGTTTTTCTTCCTAACGATTCCACAAGCTCCCAACTGATTTGATTGAGGCATCTGAGGGAGAACAAAGTGGTTTTCTTCTGGAAGGCTCACTTCTGTCTCCAAGGACAGTGTCTGTCTCTCTCCTCTGCTGTCCATTCAGTCGACCTGACAGTAATATTACTAAAGAATGGATGTCTGTCTCTGATTGCTTTCAACAGGACTTTACTTTTGCTTCCTTGCTCTGGTAAATGCAAGCACAAGAGTTATCTGAATCGGAAACTTCCCCGTGGGCCACGGAAACTACTGTGCCTTCCTCACTGCAGGTCTTTTCAGCTGAAGCTCCTAGAAAATTGTTCTGGTTCTAGCTGGGATGTGTGAACAACCTCTTTGTCACATACAGCCCAGCCAGGTTTATTGAGATGTGTTAAGATTAACTTGCCATCTGAAGAATTTATAGCTACGCTCTCCAAAGAACAGTAACAATAAACCCCCTTTTTTTTTTTTTCTTAGACAGAACTGACCCAGATGTTAATTGTTTAGATAAAGCTCTCTGTCTGACTCGGAGTTTCCATCAGTTGTCCAGGGTCACAATTTATGATTGGTTGTCCTGCAAGGCTGTCCTGAGCTGGACAGCAGTGGCAGTAGAGCAGAATCAGCACTGGCTTTATGAGAGACATCTCTCTGATATGGTGGGCGAGAGTATGACTGGTCTGTGGCATGGAAGGAAGATGGGTGGAGGGATGAGAACCTGTCTGGACAGACATTCTGCTGGCAGAGGCTGAGCTGCTACCCGTGCTTGTGGAATTTCCTGGGGATGTCAGCGTACACAGTCATTCCTTTGAGGGAGCTGAAAGAGCCCTGAGGGCTTTCGGCTGAGAGAGATGGAAACTCAGAGGCAAGGAGACAGTTGGAGTACAAGAGATTAATGGTGGGAAGTTCCCACCCAAGTTAGGCTTTTGGCAGGATATGACACACAGACTGAGCTCTTCCATCAAGGTGGTGCCAAGTGGCTTGCTCTCTCTGGGCCAAATTGCCCCTACCTTTTATGCATATTATTTCCTTGCAAGGGGGCTGGAAACAGCACGTTTGCACTTGCTCGGTTTCGTCACCACCACTTCATGGAAAAAAAGGAAGGAAAGGGGTTGGTTTTCTTGGGAAAACAACTAGATCTGCTACCGCTGGTGAGGCAGATTTCAGAAGAACCAGCCAGGCATGGAGCTCTGTGCTTTCATATTGCTTTGCAACTGAGCTTCCATGGGTTCTTCTGATTGTTGATGTCTTGGACAAACTCCTTCCACCCTGAATCCTGTCCAAAGGAGCTGAGTTAGAGTTCTGTAACCAGAGGGTGCCACAGAGAGCAGCTGTTCTGCATCTTGCTACTGCAAGGGATATGATGGCTATTAGAAAAGAACAGTGCTTGAGGGATGATCTGGAACTTACGGGAATTCTCCCTTGAATTTGAACTGAAGGACTATTTATTTATTGCTTGTATGAGACCCCTGATCCAAATGTCCTCCCAAAACAGCTTTCAGCTGCAGAATGTGTTTCTTGCATAGGCTCACTGCGTGTATTGTTAAGGTGAAATAGGCCTTTCATACCTTGAAAATGAATGAACTGTTACTGGCAGAATGCATATAGCTAGCTCTTTGCAGACTAACAAGAGTATAAACTATTGTGATGGTCAACAAACTGGGATAACTGGCATGCAGATAAATCTAACGGGCATGTTTGGCACCTGTTCAAGGATGAGGGATAGAGAGTACAAGACCTTGAGAAAGGCTTCTGAGAGAGAAGGTGGCTCCCAGTTCCTGCCTCCAGGGAGTTTTGCATTCACAATCCTGTATGGTCCATAGGTCTTCCATTAGACACTACGGTGAGGAAAAGGTTCTACTGTTCTCCTCTCAAGGCAGCTGATTACTGCTAGAATCAAGTCAACAGGCCACTTGTTTAGTACAGATGGACACCAGGTCCTATTTCTAGGGAGGTCACGAGACTATTGTTGTTCCACATACAACTGTTTTGACCACCTTAGATGTTTAATCTGCTTATTTTTCTTTTGCTACTGTCTAGGTCTTTGGAAGTGATTGCTGGTCTGGAAAGTAACAGCAAAATCTTCACTATCTATGTCCATGGCTTACTGCAGCTGCAGGTAAGCCCATGCAGACTGGGAATCACGGCACTGGTTTGCTTGGCAGGCTGTGGAGTTATTTACTGGCAAGGCTGAATTCTCACCAGGAGGTGGGGAAGTTTTTATTAACCTTCTTTCTGAGGTTAATGAAGTTAAACGGCTTACCTGGGGTGACTGGAGGGAATCTGTAACAGGAACAAAAGGCAGACCTGTGTTGCACAGTCTGATCTTGAGCCACAGAAGTAACCTTCCCTCTAAGAAATGACAGTAAATATTTTCCTTTCTCAAATCTCCCCTTGCATTGTAAAGATGGCAATTTTCTTTCTATGAAATGGGAAGTACATCTGAAGCATAGATGACCGCTTGACTAGTCACCCAAAACGGTGCTAGTGCAGTAAGGTTCTAGTTAAGTAATGAACCTATAACACAGTTTCACTACAGAAAATTTCTTCCACCAATTCAAAGCTGTAGTGCTGCAGAAGCAATGTTTGGTCAGATCCTGTTCCCAGGAGCCACAGAAAAGGGCATGAGGCTTCTGTGCTGCTTAGTTCATGGTAGTGAAATGGGGTTTTTTACCTCCTTTTACACTGGGATGAAGTGTCAGGTATTTTCCTTTCCCTCTTGTTCTCTCTGCAGGCTGGCCAGTACACCTCCATATTTGTGGACAACAGTGCTGGAGCTCCCATCACCATTCAGAATGGATCAGACTTCATGGGGATGTTAATGGGCGCATAGCATCATCTGCAGCAGTGTAGCAGGGAAGGATATGAATTAGAGCCTTGCAGTGTATATTTGACTGAAGAAACCTTTATTTTGACTCTTGAAGACTTCTTCCTGTAACTGTTGGCATCTTTTTAAACAAAGAGCCTTTCCTCACAGATACTTCAGCTTGCTTTCAGAGGCTACTGCTTTTCAAGGTCCACACCAGTTCATTCATCATAAAGAAAAATATATATACTTTTATAATTCAGAAACAAACTCTGTCATATTTAATTTGTGCTTCACCAGATGCTCACTGAACAATACACTGAGATTTGGAATTTGTAACGTTATAACTTTATTTCACAATAGCACTTGTAATCAGCATGTCTTTTGGGATTGTTTGTGGGGTGTTTGAGTTTGTAAATGAAGGATTGGGAGGGGCAGTAAAATAGTGACTATATTCTATGTGTTGTGGAGGAAGGAGAAAAAGATTTGCCAGCAAAACTGCTTTTTTCATAGGATTGTAAATGGTATAGGCCCTCTCTTGTGTTCAGAATTGGATATATTTGGCAAGAAGTGTGTTGAATTTTCAGACAATGCCTGCTTCACACATGGGAATCCAAGGTCTGAACTCTTTAATTGTGATTTTTTTTATATCTAAGTATTTCCTTGATCTTATTGATAAAGCTGAATACCTCGCTGCCTGTGCAGTTTTGTTTTTATGAAAAGGTAAGGCCCATGGCACCAGTCCTAGCATGAACTCCCTTACTTGTGTTCTTATGTTTTAGTAAGATATACACGTGGTTTTGGACTGCATCGCATAAACAGCATCCTCTCAGGTGCCGTATAATCACTTGTAAACGTGTCGGATGCATTACGCTGGTTGTCAAAAGCCTGGCAAAGACAGTGAGGATAGCAGCCTCGGATCAGCCGCGTCACCTAATGGTTCTTGTTGAACTGCAGCGGAGTAATGAAAGAATACATGGGGCAAAGCTTACGTCCGTCAGGTGGCCAGGGTCATAGGCAGTCTATCTGAGCTCTGCTAGAAGGTTGAAAGTGCTGTCAAAGACTGTCCAAAAGACCATCCAGTGAATGTTTTCTGGATTTCTACAAATCCATTTGCAAATGTAAGCATGTGAGATTGAGCCCCCAAAGCAGCTTTGCATATAGCTCCAGGCTATAAACTCATTTTAACATTTAATTGACATTCCATGGGGTTAAGGTGTTACCCAAGATGTGGTAACATCCTTGTGATTAAAAAACCCACATTCATTTAATGTATCTCTGTAGCTTTCCCTTTCGAACAGAGACCTCGCTCTTTCATTGACTCAATTTAGCTAAGGAAATGATTGTCTAACAGTGGCATCAGTAGATGGTAGCAAGGCCTAAACCAGAGTCCAGATACTTGTTCTTGAACGTTTGCATTGAATGGGAGATATCCCTTCTATACTATTGCAGTTTTTTTATCAACTACAATATCTTCGTGCAATGAAAACAGACTGCTGGGAACAGCAGAAGGCATGAAAAAGACAAGTCATCCGTTGCTGGGTCTGTTGTTCAGGTTGACCAATATATGGTGTTTCTACAAGCTCCAGTAATACTGCTGTTGAGGTTGGTGGTATGCAAAGATGTCTTATTTCAAGAGCTGTGGAAAAATCTGCTGTAAACCACGCATGGCTGAAACTGGGTTTTTTTTCATCTGCATTATAAATAGCTTGAGACAGATCTTTAAGAGTAATAAATGGTAATTTTTCCTTTGTGAAGAGCATGTTAAAGTGATACCTATTGGATGAGGAAGGAGAGGGAACAGGGAATAATCAAGTAGTGCTGTTACACAAGGAAAATTCCACTTTCTAGTCAATAAATGCAATTGTTCTAAGTGGACCTGTGTGACTGTCTAAAATATAGCAGCTATCGATTTTTATGTATTCAGTCTTGCTCCACAATACATGCCAGAATGTCTATGGATTTTTTTGTAGTACGCTTTGGGGAGAATGTACTTTTAAGCATAAACTGGGTGTTCCGCTGGCAGAGGGGAGTCCGCAGCTCTTGAAAGGCATGGCAAGTAGCAACAGTAGTCATTTCTGGAGCTTCAGAAAGCAGAAACCACACGTGAATATCACTAAATCCTATCAATAAAGATTGGCTGTTTACACTGGGTTTTGATGGAGTGAGTGTAATCAGGGCAAGTGGCCTATATCCCAGCATGTATTACTATCCTGTACTTTGTACTGTGTGAATGTTTGTAATAAATTGGTCTGTTTTGTGCATGACTTACAGCAACGTAATCACAGTGTTGTGACATTCAGCATATGTTGGTATATCTGTAGGTTTTTGAACCAAGTCTCGCTGTTCTTGGTAAATCAGAGTTAAAATATTTATTTTGTTGTAGAACTAAACGTGTTTGTCAGACTTTGTTTTGGGATCTGTGACTTTTTTTCTTTCTCCTCTTGCTGTGTTTTATGATCTTCTCAGCAGGCGATGAATTGTTCCGCCTTTATACCTGTTCTCCTTTATTTATGTAAGGAGTGCTGTCCTGGCGGGTGTTTCCCCAGTGGGCTGGAAGGTGTTTAAATGCATAATCAGTCTGAGGAACACACAGTGAAGGCTTAAATCTTCCTCTAGCAGGAGTGATTTGTTTGTGGGCAGTGTCAGCGGGAGAATTAAACCTCTCTGTGGTGTCTATCCGGAAGCCACGTTGCCTTTCTGCTCTTGTCAGCAGTGAAGGTTTGTGTCAGGCTCAGCGCTGGGGAAAGAAGCCAAATTCACAGAGGAAATGGCCGTCGCGTCTCTTGATTTGTCCGGAGTTCGTTGTCACCGTTAGAAACTTGTGGGGTTTTGATCAGGGTTTTATATCCTCAGGATGGAGGGTTGTCCCTTAAGGAGCTTTCCTATGCATCACCAAGGTCTTTTAGCCAAAAGACTTTTGTTTGTTTGTTTTTTAAAGAGTGTTTTAGCCCTGAATGCTACCAGGCCGCAGTTCTCTTGTATCCTGGGGCCTCAGCCAACAGCCAGTGTGAGCGTGAGATTGTCCGTCCAGCAGTAAGATGGGGCAGGATGAGTTGAAACAGCCAAGAAACAAACTGAGACTGGGCCTCCAGCGTTGAGGTGCAAGCGTGCAAAACTCGTGACTAATATGGACAGAAGCCTCCTGGCTGGGCTGGCCTGAGACAAATACTCTGCAAGGCTTCCGTGCTGTTTGGAGAGCGAGGAGATTAATGGTGTGCGAAGCAAAGTTTCAATGCTCCTCTGTAGTCGTAAAATTTATAGTCCAAGAAAATTTCAGAACTCAGGAGGACTGAGTTCAATATGAAGAAGTTGTTTATAACAAACTAAAGCCCGTGTGCTTGAGCCTATGGTTCAATGGCCGAGTGTGTTAATCCCACCCAATGTCAATGGCTATTTGTGGCGTGCGAGGGGAGAAGTAGAAGAGGCACAAATGAAATGGTTGGGGTTTTTCCTGGGTCGTTCCAGCATGCTCAGTGCACTATCTGCACAAGCTGAGGCAGGAGGATAGGATGGGGGCACCTCACCTTTGAGGTCCTAGCAGAATGCAAACACAAACAGTTGCTGCATTTTTTTTTTTTTTCTTTAAAATGTCTAAGTAGTTTAGGGTTTCGGGGAAACTGGAGGTGAGGAAAAGTACATCTCTCCTTACTGGAACAAATTACTTACCCTCATCTTTGAGTTCTTCACAGAAACGTTTGCCACAGAATCACCCTCAAAAAGTTTCAAACGTTAGTAACTTGTACCAGCAGTCATAACTTTGTCCAGGTTCTATATACTAGTTCAAGAACACTTCCTAAAAGGTTATTGTGATACCCCACACGGATCAGTTAATATTTACTAAAACTTTGCTGTCTTCCCTGTGCCCTGGCTCACTCATCTTCCAGCCCGTTCCTCTGCAAAGGCCTCTCTCGATCTTTGCAACAACCTACATCAAGCTTTTTGCCGTGCGTGCGGTTCAGATTCAGATAAAACTAATGCGAATCAGCATGGTTTTGTTAGGGTTAATGCTCTGTGCAGATCTCTCTCAAACGAGGGAGACGTGCTCACTATCCAGGGTTTTGAGATCTCTCACGTGAATTTTTTCCTACCTGAGAGTTTCTTGTTTCCAAGATACTGACACTGAATTTGATGCTCTGGTCCCATACGTGTCTCTGGGCTCAATATTCTCACTGTTGTATACTGCATTGCTCTGGTTGCTACACTTCCCTCTTACACAGGCTGTGGTGTAAACAGACTGCTTTGCTGCTTAGCTTCTATTTCAGGAACAAGAAACCAAACTATCCTAGGATGAGAATTGACTGCTAATTTCAATGTCCATAAAAGTGATTTTCTTCGGTCATAATTCTTTATTCTAAACAGAGTCCAGCTAAAAGTTTCCAGCGTCAGGCTGAAGTTACTTGTTTAACAAGATGTTAAATATCATAGCCTCGTGCTTCTGGAATGTGCCTCTGCCCTTGTCTCAAAGGTCTAGGCTAGGCAGAGTTGCTAGCAGGGTTTTTTTAGCTGCTTCTATGTCAGGTGCCCTCACAAAACCTGCTGATAACTGTGGTTCATGAGCCTGACAGAGACCCCACTGAGGCTGGGGGAAAATCTGGCGAAAATGTTAGTGATTCATCCCAGAATATAGGTATTTGGTCTAGTTCAGAGCTTAACCCCAGAATTGCCTTTCAGGTGTGTTTCTGCTGGCATGGCCACTATGAACTTTGTCCTATGAACGACATGGACAAAAGGTTGCTGCGTTGTCCCGATCCCACTACTTTTCACTTCTCCCACGTTTAGCACTGTGCTGGCCGGCTCCGAAGGGCACGGTGCAGTGCTGAATCAGATGTGGAATCTGCGGTGAATTATTCCTGTTTCATTCACACGGGGCCTCGAAGTAGCCCTCGTACAGGCTGTGTTAGAGTTAGGAGCTGAGCAAAGCTACCTCCATAACGCCGGGGTTGTCCGGTTTGCACCCTAGCTCTCTCTGCTAACTGCTTCGGACAAATGAAAATAATTCCAGTTGCCGGCAGACTCTGAATATTTTCCCTAGCTGGGACCTGATAGGTTATGAGATTTTAATTTCTATTCAAATTTCATGTTTTGTAAATGATTTCGATGCCACACTCTGGACTGACTCCAGGGGTATTTATGGTGGATTAGCAGCAGATTGCTGCCTTTCCTCACTTGATAAAAGACACCGCAGCACACGAAAACTCCCCTTGAATGGCGGGCTATTAACCGTC